GTTATATTAATGCTTATATGTTTCATTCCAAGTAGCGTTGTAGTGGTTGCAGTAAAGTATCCATTGCAGGAAAGCAAATCCAGGCGATCCTTGATGGCTTGTGTTTATATGTGGACAAACACTTTCCTTTCCATTAACTCTACGCTAAATTGTCTCGTATTTTTTTGGGCGAATGGGAGGTTAAGAATGGAAGCGTGGAAGATATGGCGACGATGTTTTGGTGATGATGAACGCACCACATCGAATCCGTCCCACTGAGATCAATTTAAAGAGAAAAATTTCTACATTTTGAACTGAAATATACCTGAGGCAAATTATTATCAGTGTTAATCATAAAGAGGCGAGCGAACGTTGCTAGACAGAATAGTTTAATTCGGTACTGGGTAATATCTCCATGAATTTTTACGTAAATAAAGTTACCTTTTTCCTATAACTATAATCAATTATATGTTTCATTTTGATAAACTTCGAGTTTCCTAGATAGCTATTTTGAGTTAAACCGCAGTGCTTTTTTTCATATTTTGGTACCCCGGTATATAATTATACACATATAGTACCTGTATCCTTGACTAGATGTATGTAGCACAATGGATCTTTTCGGTAATTACGTCACACTATTATCGTTTGAAATTCAGAACCACCTTAAATGAGAGGGATTTCAAGTATTACACTTACGAGCTATGTCCAAAGATGCAAAACATCCTTCTATAACCCGTGCATGAAAATAATTTTTCATTTTGACTAATAAGTCTGGAAATAAGCCATAATGCGGGAACGAGGCTCGCGGTCTTGGCCCCCCCGACATTTATTGGTCAAAATAATTTAAATAAAAAATATTTTTCATGCATGTGTTAAAGAAAAATGTTTCGCATCTTTGCACGTGGCTCGTGAGAGTAATACTTGGAATCTATTTCATTTAAGGTGGTTCTAAATTTAAAACGTTATCATTTAAAATGTTGTAACGTAATTACCGAAAAGGCCTATTTAAGAACCTCCCGAATGCATGCCTGTTTTTCTCTAAAGATTACATTATGTGGTGTATACGCTGTTAACATTTATATTAAATGTTGATCGAGTAAATCAAGTTAAACTTTCCTCTTTCAGGAACCAGATTACTGTTTTATACAGTTTGCTTGTGCTCGTACACGCTTATAACCATGCAAATTGTGCCAGCGACTAAAGAAAGCTGGTAGCACGTAAAAGCGGCTGCTATAGTTACGATCTTCTTTATCTAAAGAGATATTCACTCTATTGAAGAATAGGAAGCGATTGGAAACATACTTAACTGAGGAACAAGAAAGTGCCTAGTGACATAGCTATATGAATCTTTTTCCATCGGTTGATTCAGAAATCTAAACAATAAAACGCATTTCAAAAATGAAAAAAGCGAAATTTACCAAATCCCGCTTCGGATATAGTCCAAGTTTGTAGACGCTCGCCCCAAATCTCTTTTCAAAAGAACACAGTCACTATGTTGTAATGATTAGTGTAATGCTTTCTAGTATCTATTTATCCGATAGAGAAAATGCAATCGGAAATTCCTAATAAAGAAGTTAAAAGAAGAGCAAAAGTGTCTTAGAAAAAAAATTGGTTTTTTATCGGAATGAAACAAACGACGGCCCTGCATGCAATTTATTTTCCGTAAACAGTCGGGAATATCCTTGACTCAGCCGGAATCAAAGTATTCTGCGGACAGTCTACCCGGCAGTCTGTAACATATACAATACAGTTCATACTCATTTTTAATTTATTGATGCCTTGCGAACCTAAATTTTGTTCGATTGCGACAGAAGCACGTGCACATCGTACTTTAAAAAGTATAGAAGTTCAATTTTCTAAAAATGCAAATAAACCGCATGATACGTTCACTTTGTCTTACACTTTGGAAGTCGCGTATATTATTCGCGCCAAAACACACTTGCTACGACGAAAAAAAATTAAAAAAACAACAACAAAACAAAACCAAGGCGAATTTTTAAATCCGTCACTCACGCCGGAGTAATTAGAAGTCCCAAACGGCGCTGATTTCTAGTTCGAAAAGAATTTCGAAACATGCTTCCGTGTTTATGATTTCCATAAGTTGCGCGCTCGCGTACATTCCTAGAGGGAATACATTATGCTATGAGAGAAGTTTGAGACTAGCGCTAATTGACCACTCGCATGGCTATTGTCTAAATACTAGTCGTAATACACCTCTCCTCAAAGATGTCTACTAATTCGAATATCAGCAGCAATGAAGAAGTGATATTAACTAAATGTCTACTATCTTACATCGTAGAATCACCGTCCGAGATCTATATCAACGGTGCTATCACATGCTGTATTGTAAATGCAATATTCTTCATCATGGGATGCATATTGAATTCCTTGGTGGTCGTGATCTTCTCAATGTCGAAGCTGCTTCGTTCCAACATGAAATTCCTCCCAGTGCTGGTGTTATGCTCCGTGGATTTAGTCACGGTGACTTTGGTTCATCCTTTATTTCTAATGCAAACGATTGCTGAAGTGCTTGGTTCTCCCGATTGTCTGTACAAGGTTATCTATTTCTCGTCATTGTATGTATTTCCTGTTATGTCTGCCACAACATTGTTAGTTATGAATATCGAGAGATATATAGCTATTGTGCGACCGTTATGGCACTTACGATATTCAAACAAGAAAAGAAAATTCATAATAGCTTGCATATTTTGCTGGTCCCTGTCAGCTGCAAATTTCGCGTGTCGGGTGTTCAAACCACGGTATTCAAAAGCATTTACGATGGGTTATGGAATCACTGCTTCTTTCATAACCCTTTTTGTTTACTCCTCGATGTTTCATGTCGCAAGACAGCGTCGTTCCACGCAACATTCAGAGGAAATGATCGGGGATTTCGCACAACATTCTAACAGAAATCGAATGAACTTTATTCACAATTTAAAAATAGCAAAAATATACTTCCTGGTTGTAATATTATCGTCTGTGTGTTTCCTTCCAATTACCGTGGTCGTGTTTGCAGTAAAATATCCGTGGCGAGAAAGCGAATCCAGGCGTTTACTGATGGCTCAGGTTTATATGTGGGCGAACACTCTACTGTGCTTGAGCTCCACGCTCAATTGTCTTGTGTTTTTTTGGGCGAATGCCAGGTTAAGAATGGAAGCGCGGAAGCTATGGCAACGGTTGATTTCCCCTGAACAACCCCCAAGCAATCCGTCGAAGCCCGGTGAATATATTCTATCCAACTGCGTTGCATAGCGTTTGAATTGGATTATTAATCCTACAGCTAAGACTGAATCTCCTGGAAATATTACCGCAACATGTCAATAGGAACCTCGAATACTATTGAAATAGTATAATATGCTTTGTGCTATCCTCAATCTGAACTATCAAGCACGTCATACATAATAACGGGCAGGGCAGTGCTACATGTTTTACTATGTGGGGAAGTGGGGTATATCCATGCTTATCATATCCAAACTCTTTTACCATAGAAGACGGAAATATAAGCATGTATACCCCTAATATATTATAACGTCCCGGCAAACAACCGCCTTTAAAAACGAAATAAAAAACCAACCAATATTAAACAAAGCACGGTTTACTAAACGACATTTCAGACCAGCTGTCTCTAGGTAGGGGGTGGCGACGTGTCAGGATTGGGGTTAGCGCTAATATTGACCAACTTTTATAATCGAAATTTAACTTTTTTATTGGCGAGTGCGGGGGTTGCGGTGTTGAAATGAAACCGTTGGTAAAACTACATCCTCCCATACCGCGCCTATGCTTGAGTTTCACCACGGTTTGGAAATAGCCTGGTGAATGATATAATGGAGAGTTGGTGACGAGCGAGAAAATGTTTAGTAAATCCCAAACGTCTATATCTTTGAAAGCAGCCTTTTTTAAGCGGATTACTACCCCTATTCGGAGATATTTTAGTATGTGTTGTTATAGTCCAGTTATAATGCAGTTTGTTTTTCAAACCTGAGACAGAGGATACTAGATTAGATTGGTTATTATGAACTAAAAATTACAGGAAATGGGAAGTAGGTAAAATTGCGGGTAATTGAATTTAATTATTAATCATTATGCATGCAAATTAGAGTACAAATTATAGCTAGTTGGGAAATACATGTAACAGTGAACTTGATTACAAATTAAGTTAAGTAGTGAGATACAACAGCGTGACTGTGATTGAAGTTGATTAATAATATAATTATGCATGTAAATTACAGTATATTATATAGTTGGTTGTGAAATAGAGATTATACTAAACTTGATTAATCATTATGCATGCAAATTTGGGTATGTATGTAGTTGTAAAGAAATAAATTTCAATTAATATGTGTTGACCAAGTCTGATGACAAATTTAGCTTAAAGTTGACAAACAGATGGATTATATTTTCTACCGTACAAATAAATGAATCTGCATTCTCGAATTTTGATTTCGTTCTATACTGACTTTGTATTTGTATTCGTAGAGTTTAAAAAGTACATTAATATTATCCTGTTATTGCTAGGTTTGCGTCGAGAGATTTTCTCGGCCATCTTGGGCGAAACGAAAATTTTCCGACAGTCATTTAACCAGCACGGTAACAACGAATTCCATGAGATTGTTGATAAAGATGAATTTGTGAAGAAAGTAAAAATATCTTCAGAAAATTCTTTTCAACTAATCAAAGGGCTCCATCAGTTAATCGGAAGAATGCTAAACACAAATTGCTAAATAATGCAACAAAATGCAAAACTTGAGCTAAATTTAAAATTTTTACCGGGTCAGATATTTCGCAAGTGTCATATAATTCGCGTCTGACACGCAAAATTTGATCAGTCACGCGAGGTCATAAATTTCGTATGACACCGGTCAATAGCTACGAAAAAAAGGAGAAACCTTTCACTTGACGATCTTAAAAATAGTCAAATAGAACAAAAATATCCAGAGTTTTACATCTTGATAAGTCTCGCACGGCGCTAATCAACAGTTTGGCAGGAATATTATACATGAATTTGTTTCCGCGTTCACTAACCGTGGGGCACCTTGCGCACAGTACACAATAAACATTAATCTATAAGATGAGTTTAAGCCTTGCGCTAAGCTTGCACCGGCACATAAAACACTCTTCAGTGATGTCTTCTAACTCGAATCGCAGCAGAAACGAAATGATATTCACTAAATGTCAATTATCCTACATCGTAGAATCACCGTCCGAGATCTATATCAACAGCGCTATCACATGTTGTGTTGTAAATGCTATTTTACTCATCATTGGATGCATATTGAATTCCTTGGTGGTCGTGATCTACTCAATGTCGAAGCAGCTTCGTTCCAACATGAAATTCCTTCCAGTTCTGGTGTTATGCTCTGTGGATTTAGTCACGGTGACTTTGGTTCATCCAGTATTTCTAATGCAAGCGATTGCTGAGGTGCTTGGTTCTCCGAAGTGCTTGTACAAGGTTGCCTATATGTCGGTACTGTGCATATTTCCGTTTATGTCAGTCGCAACGTTGTTAGCTATGAATGTTGAAAGGTATATAGCTGTCGTGTGGCCGTTGTGGCACTTGCAAAGCTCAAACAAAGAGAGAAAATTCATGTTAGCTTGCGGGTTTGGTTTGCTCCTATCGGTGGCAAACTTTTCATGTCGGCTGTACAAACCGCAGTCTTCAAAAGCATTTACGATGGGTTTTGGAATCATTGTTTCCCTAATAACGCTTTTCGTTTACATCTCGATCTTTTATGTCGCGCAGAAGCGTTATTTGATGAAACGTTCAGAGGAAATGATCGGAGATTTTGCACCATGTCCTAGAAATAGAATGAACTTTATGCACAACCTAAAAATAGCAAAGATATACTTCCTGGTTGTTATATTATCGTCTATATGCCTCCTTCCAGTCATCGTGGTCACGTTTGCAGTAAAGTATCCATTGCAGAAAAGCGAATCCAGGCGTTTACTTATTGCACAGGTTTATATGTGGACAAATATTCTCCTGCCAATAAACTCTACGCTGAATTGTCTCGTGTTTTTCTGGGCGAACGCGAGGCTAAGGAAGGAAGCGTGGAAGCTCTGGCGACGGTTGTTGAAATCCCCCTCAAATCCGAACGTTTTAACCCAGTAATTTACTGGCAGTAAATATATATTCTCGTCAGAGATATTTTGGATTATATGTTGGATTAAGACTGTTCAGTGTTTTATTTGTGAACCAAAGCCCCGGATACACTACACTGGACGGCTAAAATGGGTACCCTTGCCCATTTCATTTGTGCTCGGCCTTTGTTTTGGTAGCCTGAACACTAATAACATTGGGTACGGTGCCATGCCGTGCCGTTCCGTGCCGATAAACTGACTGAAGTTTAAACCGGGCTTGAGTGTTGGACTAAGACTATTCATTTGTGAACTAAGTGTTGGATTATGACTATTCATTCTGCAGCTAAAACAAGACACGGCTTGATTGCAAAAATACACTACAATACGATCAAACTGAGTGCTCGTTCGCTGCGCTCACTCGTTCGATATTGTTCTCAACACTGGAAATAAATTCCATTAAGTATTTCCGTGCATCCATATACTATTCTTTATTCATATAATTTAAAATCATGATCATATAAAATAACATGTAGAGAGAATTTCATTGTTGATCTAATAATTAAATTTTGTCGTTGCTCTGTAATTTCTTCTTATATTGTAAGATAATTAAAAAAGCTCGTCTCGTGCCTTTATGGTCTTATTAAAGTGACTATTATCATCATTGTCATGGTTGCGGATTTTGAATACATCAAAACTTTAAGGTATTTTTAAAATCTTTGCAATACATTTTGTTATCCGCCCCGCTTCCTACGCCCCCGCTTAAATGTCAATGATGCTTCCGTGTTTACAATTTCCGAAAAGGTGCGCAATGCGTACAGTCGTAAAGGTTTGCGTAACACTATAATTGAAATTTACACACTATTAAGTATTGACGATGTTTTCTCAATCGAATTTGACAAGGAATGAACTAATATTAACTAAATGTCAACTATCTTATATCGTAGAATCACCGTCCGAGATCTATATCAACAGTACTATTTCAGCTTGTGTGATAAATGCTATACTCTTCGTCGTTGGATGCGTATTGAATTCCTTGGTGGTCGTGATTTACTCTATGTCGAAGCAACTTCGTTCGAATTTGAAATTCTTTCCAGTTCTGGTGTTGAGCTCGGTGGATCTGGTCACGGTGACGTTTCTGCATCCATTATTTCTAATGCAAGCGATTGCTGAAGTGCTTGGTTCTCCAAAATGTCTGTACAAGGTTCTCTATTTGTCGGCATTGTATATATTTCCTTTTATGTCTGTATCGACGTTGTTAGTCATGAACATCGAAAGATATATAGCGGTCTTGTGGCCATTGTGGCACTTACAAAGTTCAAAAAAGAGGAAGAAATTCATGCTAGCTTGCTTGTTTTGCTGGTTATTAGCAATGGTCAACTTTGTGTGTCTGCTGTACAAACCACGATATTCAAAAGCATTTACCATGGTTGGTGCAATTATTGCTAGTTGCATAACGATTTTTGTTTATGTTTCGATTTTTCGAATCGCGAGACAGCGTCGCTTTTTGAGACGTTCGCAAGAAACGAGCGGGGATTTTAAACCGGATTGTAGCAGAAATCGAATGAACTTTGTAAACAATTTAAAGATAGCAAAAATATACTTCCTGGTTGTAATATTATCGTTTGTATGCTACCTACCAGTTACCGTGGTCGTGTTTGCGACAAAGTATCCGTGGCGGGAAAGCCAATCCAGACGTTTACTGATGGCTCAAGTTCATATGTGGACAAACACTTTTCTGTCTATGAACTCGACGCTAAATTGTATCGTTTTTTTCTGGGCGAACTCCAGGCTAAGAAAGGAGGCGTGGGAGCTATGGGAACGGTTATTTTCTTCTGAACAACCCCCAACCAATCCATCGAAACCGGCCGCTGTTTATATTCTTTCCAATAACTTTGTTGCATAGCGTCAGATCGGGATCATCGATTGCCAGGTTAAAAACCCAAACCTGATTCTGCTGGGAATATTACAGCAATATTTTAATCAACGTCGAATACTATTAAAGTAATTACACCGGCCGTAAGGACCATTGCCTTAAAATGCCAAGCGTTCATGGATTATATCGCTACTACATACATGGAGTTTACCGCTTTCCTATGGAATCGCAGGTTCGCATCAAAATAGTTCTCGTTTTAGCAGCGGAATAAATGTCAAATTACTTTGTATCTAAAAGTGAATACGAGAATAATGGATAGCAACAACGTTCAATTGTTGAACAAAATAGGTTGTTTACAAGACTAAGTATAGTGCATTTTCAATACTGCATGAGTACGGAGACACTATGCATGGAGCACCGCTTAAAAAACGGACAGGGTCATTGCTATACGATATATATAACTATTTGGGGAAGTGAGGTGTATATTTATATATTTTGTTCAATGTAGAAATGTTGATTATATTTTTATTTATATATCTTCTGTAATCTTTGGCAAATGCTGCAATTTCATTCGCTAAGATGAGTGCGATTTGAGCATTATACAGCTAGGGTATGCAAAAAAAACACAGTTGACCTTTCAAACCTAATTGCTAAATGAAAACGTGATCAAATTGATCGAGAGTGATTTCATCTTAAAGCCTGCTCGTTTTTCTTTTAACGATACGTTTTTTAGGTATTTTGGGCAAGAAACCTATTTACAACATAGATTCCCGCACAAGCGGTGATTTTGAGACGCACCGTGAAAGGACAATGTTCCATGCATGGGGGTATTTTAGAAACCAACTAAAAATTCATGCGTGTCTTTAATACTACCAAACTGTTTGGCAAAACTTCAATCATATAACATCATGGTACTATTAACTGTAGCCGAAAGAGCTTTTCTTGTTGGGACTTCAAAGCACAAGGATTGAATTGCCAATTGCATTTTTTAGGACACCCTGTTAATCAACCTATAAAGAGATTAGTCCAGAATTCGAGTTAGGATTGGGTTTTAAATTAGATTTATGGTTGATTAAGGTTAAACCTATAGTCTCAGGGATTATATATAACTCGTGAATTGAGGATTTATTGAACATGGAATTAATAATTTATACTGACCCTGCGCTCGGAGGATATGGCGAAATATTATCTTTATGCAGTAATGATGTCTTGTCCAGCCTATGCGAGTCTTCTTTATAATTATTTACTGTTTAACGCGGCTCTTTTTATTACAGTGGAAATTTCATAGTTACCAACGCCTCTGCGATAATTAAACGAACTTCTTTGAATTAAATGAGAATTCACGGGTGTAAGTAATTGAACTAAGAAAAATTGGAACAGTACCTTCTCGTAACATGTTCAAACTCTCTGATGCCAAATTTTACCTCTCCATGAATGGGTTCGCGCGTTTCCGTGGCGTGAAAAGACTGGGCATAACCTCAAATATTTCGCTTCGTGTTTTTCCAGTTCAATGGTGCAAATGTTTGTGTGGAAATAAATATGAGCGAAAGGGCGTGCAGTGAATTGCAGTTCAGGGAAAATGCACGCTTCGTGTACACTGTAATCGAATCGTTTGTATTTGGAAGTTGTATAAAAGCGTTTTAAAGCACTATTTTTTGTTTATTTTAAACTCGAATGTTTGAATACGACCAAGAACCTAACCCCTAACATCATATAATTTATTACGCCTACAATCATTTTCAAAAGAGTTGGGACAGGTAGCCAAATTACCGATCTATAACACAAACCCAGATCCCCCGCGCCCCCTTTTCAATGTTGTGTCCCAAATAGACGGACATTTTGTTCCGAAACGTGTTTAGATTTGAAAACCAACATTGATCGGGGGGAGGGGGGGGGGGGTGTATGGAAATCATCCTATATAGTAGATTTTAGTTAAAAATAGTAGGTGTCCCAACTACTTTTGAAAATGATTGTAGTTCGAACGTAGCGCCCATATTTTGGCTGATGAAAAGCGCGACGTAAAGTTCCAACCCCGCAGATACATAAATTTTTTTTATAAGCTAGAGGGTATAGATTTGAATTCTATAGAATGACTCAGCTATGATGGAATGTCAGCTTTTTATATCCAAAGAATTATTTATACGTTAGGAATAACTTTCAGGTAAATTTATCTCAGAAATGTCCAGTATACGAATTTCTTATTTATAAGCAATCAGTACAGTATCTATAATCCAGACACGCTTTTAACGTGCGGTCCAGCTAATGATAGTTCAGTCAGTGTAAATAGAGGTGTTAGGCATCAAGTGCATTTTACTGTCTTCAATGTTTCCTGGAAAATGTACTGAATTTTGCTTCATCTTCAACGGATTCATCGCCAGATTCCTGAATTTGTAATGCACCGGTACCATTACCAAGTGACGTTTCGTCCTATTCAATGCAAAAGAAATTATTGAACGGTAATACAGGAAACGCAGACCATAATCGGGAGTCATTAGGAAACTCCCTTCTAATGACTCCCCCAATTGATTAATTTGGTAGCAAATTGAAAATATGAGACTGTAGTAGAATAACAGGAGCTAACAGTTTATCAAACCTCGTACCAATGTTTGTGCACCGATTGACTGACCACCTCCTCCCCCCTCCACGGTATGCTCCATCCGTTTGAGCTTATAGTGTTACACGAAAGTGTTCTATCGCGATCTGCACTAGTACCTGGACTATCCCGATATGCACTAGTACAATCGGTGCGAAAAAGTGTAACACTCTGTTCGTATCTAATTTTCTTCCAATAAACGCTTGTCAAGGGACCGTGTGAGTCGACATAATTATATTGGACTAGATCAGCTAGTTAAAAACAATACGGCATTTCGCGAAACTTAACATTGGAAATAGATGAAAACAATATAAGAGAATTGTGATAAGTCTTATAAAATATTCACGAGAAAATTTTATTTTTTTTTATTTTTTGAGTTTCCGCTGGGGTAGATGCATGATGAAATATGAACGACAATCTTTTTAATAGAATTGCTTGAATTGTGGTTATATGCATAACTGCATTGGTCTTTAGGCTATTTACTGCTATTTACGTATTGTATGCAGGAAGATAAAATAATCTTAATGTTTACCCCAATATTGATGCCATCATCCTTCTCTTCATCCAACGAGCCTTGATAAGACTTCTTTTCATCATCAGAATCTTCATCACCACCTGAGTAATATTTTTCCGCCGTATCACTACGTTTCGGCGATTTCTTGGACTCATTCGACGATAAACTTGTTAATTTCAACGGAATATTCGAGGATGCATCATAACCATCGTAATCAGTAGGAAAGAAACCCTTGAATCTCGAGTTGCTGTTGTTGTCGTGTACAGGTGAAAAACGATTTCTTTCATATTCGGATTTATTCAGTTTCCTCTATGAATTGGGAATGATAAATTTTGTTCCTTTTTAGAAACATGAAGAGAAAATAATATGGAATGGAGTGGAATGAAATTGATTATCAACTATGGATCATTGACAATGAATTTTCAACTGATGGAATTTTAGAACGAAATCTAACGGCAGGGATATATAGCGCGTAAATATTGCACTCAATTTGTTAAAGCTGAATAAAGCTCGCATCTTCCCGCCACTGGAACGCGAACTATACGACGCAGCCACGTGACCCTCTGTCGCCTGGTAAAATAGTAGGGATATTATATAATACTTGGATTTATGGTACAGAACGAAAATGAACGATTAACTAAAGCCAATAAACTACTTACCCGAGTGTAGATGAAGGCGATTAGAAGAAGCAAACAGACACTTCCAAGTACAGCAATAACAATAATTGCCCACAGAGACAAAGTTGATTCAGGAGATGTTTCTGGACTATCAACGCTTGTTTGCACAGAATGTAACACAAACTCTCCAAAACCATAAGTGTCATTGTAGTTCTTGATCTTCTCCTTGAGCGTGGAAGCTGTTTCTGAGCTCGACTTTTTTAAGACTAGCTTGAACATGCATTCATACTGGATACGATATGAATTGTCCTTACTTGTTATCACCAAAACCTTTGAATATATGTAATCACTAACTGACGTTAACGCTGCATCTAAAATCTTCTCAATAGCGTCACCAAGTTTCTTGTAATTATTCTTCTTTCTCAAATCATTGTACTCCTTCGAAGAGGACTTTTTTGGTGAAAGAAACAGTATTCCATCAACTTCCCAGAAATATCCTATGTTGTTTTGTGCAACGGAAGAACTTGATGATGTTACTCTCTGGATAATAGTTTTAGAAGATTTAAGTAATCTATCTTGGCTTAACGTAATACTACTTTTTGAGGTTTCATTTTTGAAGGATGCATTATATGTTGCTGTTGGTCCATTGGAAGAGAGATTAGGGACTTCAATTGTACCATTTAAAGAAGATGAAATTTTAGTCAAAGACAAATTGGGAGGTATTGTCTTCGTAAGTAAAATTGAATTATGTAAAGACGCCTGGGATTGAGCCTGGGAAAAAGGGCTTGACATTTGTTTTGATATCTGATTTTGGTCAGATCTTGTAGAAGCCATCAGTGAACTTGAGAAGAAAGGTGTCGTTGAGAGCTTAGGAGTAGGTACGAAGGAAGGGGAAATAAATGAAGTATAAGAAGGAGTAACAACGTTTCCTGAATCAAATGATTGGCTAGAAAACGATGGTTCGACGTTTAATGTACTCTGGTTGTTTATAGATGACATAAATGACTGGGTTTTAGACGAATTTTGAACATGATCGTTGGATTTTGATGAAATGGTGATGTTGGTTGGGGACGATATGTCTTTTTTTGATATGGTGACTTTTTCAGAAACCGAAGAAGCAATTGACGTAGTATAAGTTACCAATGTGATAGATGTAGACGCATTTTGGATATAATTGTTGGATTTTGATGTAATGAAGTTGCGGTTTGAGGATGTAATGTTATCCCTAGAAAAAGACTTTCCAGGAGTCGGAGAAGAGAACGCCGTGTTCGTTGTCAAAGTGGATGACAGGTTATTTGACATAACCGAAAGAAACGATAATGAGGCAGAATTGTTGCTTTTCGACAGGGATATGGAACTTGAAAATGAATTTAATTTTTGGTACATGGAATACGATAATCTGGATGTGGAAGCTTGCATGCGCAAGTCAGAAGACGTTGCGTAGGAGGAAGATGTTATAGTAGAAGGTAAAGCGATTTCCAGGTTGTTGGTGGAAAAGAATGAATATCGTGTGGTACGCGAGAAGTCATCAGCCCTGGAGTTAATTTTAAGAGAAAAAGAACTCATGGGAGTAACATTATGAAGGATTATTGAAGGAGAGCCAGAAGATGACGGTTGCACTTTGGACGATGCAGTAGTTGCATGGGACATCGATGGGTTTCCGAGGAAGTTTGTCTTAGTAGTGCTCATCACAAACACTGTGGATGTCTGGCCTGACTTTGACGGCGTTAATGTAGGTACGGCGTTAAACATGGAACTTGTGGGGTTTCCAGGTAAAAATGTGCCATTATTTGACAACTTCATACTTGTTGGTAAGCTGTTCAAACCTGTGGTTGAAGAAAATTCAAAATCTGGTCAAATCGAATAATCGAATACAAATCGCATTTGATTTAACTACTATATAATTTATTCACTCCCAAAAAGTTTGTTTTTATCCATTGAACCGTGGTAAGACCTACAGCCAAGATGGCAGATGACGACGGTGACAATTACACATTGGACGAAGTCGCACCTTTTGTGTTATTGCTCATTGGGCTCCCAGGTGAAGATGTGCTATCATTTCCCGAACCTGTTGTCAAAAAGAAATTAAAATTTTGTCATTTCGAATCATCAACTACCAATTGCATTTGACAAAATATTGCATTTGGCTTGTTTTCATATTTACGTATAAATCAATCTTCAATACAAATCTTCTGAACATAAACAATACAGTTCATACTCATTTAATTTAGCTAGATGCCTTGCTGTTCGATCGCCACATTCAGAAGCACATCGTACTTTAAAAACTAGTATATTTCGCTCCAAAACACACTCGCGACGACGAAAAATAATAAAAAAAAAAACAAAAACAAAAACAAAACCTAGGTGAATTTTCAACTCCGTCGCTCACGCCGGAGTATTAAGGTTTAATATGCTATTTCTTCGTTAAGACAAAGACTTAATTAGCATAAGATACGAATAAAAAAAATAAAAAAATATGCCGTAATTATAAGCCTATATATAATCAGATCTCGACCACAAATTTCTTGTTATATCCTACAATCCTGAAATTCACTATGGAAATTAAAGATAGGCATGTGCATGCGTAGACAGGTTGAAATCGTTTAGTAACTCGTGACTTTCTAAGCTTTTATCATAGATGATGCATGTAACTGATGTCTAAGCCTATCCCAAGCGGTCAAAAACATCACAAAATCAAAATTCAAAAAAGGATTCTCAATACTCCGTGTCAACCAAAGTTATCTATGAAACTTTCCCTTTGATTCGTGCATTTAAAGCACCTGAGAGAACATGTTATTCTTACTGACTCTCGGCAGACAAACATTGAGATTTATGTCAGAATATTCCGGTATAATTATAATGTAAGGGTGTCAATGACATACGGCAATTAACAGTTGAGGGTAGACGGAACTGTTCATATTTTAGTTGATCTGAATATTCCCCTTGAGAGAAATCAAGGTTTGTGTGATTTCCAATTATTTTTGCATAAATAGTTATTTACTCTTGGCTTATGTGTCTTTGTATGTAGCTATATTGCAACGAATATTAAGGTCATATATTGGTCATTCGACTCTGTGACAAACAGCGGGGTGCCGTACATAGAAATTAATAACAAACAAGGAACAAGCAACTGTCTCAAACGCTATGACGACAGTTCAAAAATGTCGTTAACTTTGCACACATTGCTATTTGCAAATGTGCTGTAAATCATTCATATTGTGGTGCAAATTTCGGGGCATTTCAGTTTAATGATCACGTTATGACAACAAGAAAGTAAAACTGAGCAGAATGATTTTCGATAATGAAAATACACTAAAGCCCATGCAGTACCGTCAAAAGTACAACAAAATTACTGTGTGACAAGACAACCGTTCTCGAGACAACTCGAACCAAAGCCAATATATAGATAAAACTAAAAATCAGACGAAAACATTTCTGGACGTTTCGACAAATTAAGGGCCTTTGTCAAGGAGAGGGAATATCTCGCCAACTCCCCAGTCTCGACTAAGGCCCTTAGTTCGAAATGTGGAGAGGTTTTTCTATTTAACTAATTTTAGACAGTTGTCACCCGCAATTGATGTGAAGTTGTTACGGGAGGTTGTTATTCTGGTCATTTGGTTATAGCTATATTATACAACTAAAATAAGTTGCAGGACTAAATAATTAGCGTAACTAATGACCTAATGTCATTTACTATACAAACCCTGTAAACAGCATGAAGCAGTCAAAGTCTAACGAATATTATATTTACATGCACTGTTGTACAGTTGCCGATATAGTTGATTAATAAGACATGCAGTCGTGGAACAAAGACTGCTTTTTTATAGCTACTCTAATAAATATAGCTATATAATTATGTCATCTCGCGACCAGCCACTGTAAGACATATGCACAGAGACTACATGCAAGAATATGCATGCATCAATAATGTAGCGAAATTTCTGATATACTGTGGTAGTCGTGGTACGCCAGAGGACACTTAAACTGTCATAAACTATCAATAAGCCTACAACTGCCTTGAACTTACCATTAACAATTATTCACAATAACACCATACCTTATTCAAGGTATAATTCTACGGTATATTTACAAGGACTGCACGCTATATATTGATCACTGCTGTATGTAACACACATGGCCGAAAGGCACTTCGACTCACAGATTATAGCCTGTGGTGAGGCATTTCTGGTATATATCCTAGACGTATGCTACACTTATAACAACATTTGATTTTTGCATATATCAATGACAATCGATGAAGTTATATTGCAGTAACAAAATGACAGAGGTTTTCATGCAATATTGATTAATCTTACCACAGACAATGTTGACATGTTGTTGAATAAGGATGACAATAGTCGTGCTAACTGCAAGGTTTCCAAGCAACATTACGAAAGAGGAAATCCGATGACTAAAGAAAAGAATGGCACACAGTCCTTGTAGCCAAATCTAATGTTTGGCCGATGTACACAATATGACTTCGAATTTCAAATATCAGCAGGAGGTTTAGGCACTTTATTAATTCAGTTCGACAACGGTTCGATGCGCTTACAAGAATGCAATTTGACCCTTACGGAGATAAGAAGGACTATATTTTATTCCGGCTTTCGTGGGAGCTAACCAATCATGCATCGCTCTGTATTTGTTTTCTATTTACTTTATAAACGGAGCGTATAATTAGAGGACAAGGAAGTAAAAAGTGAATAAGAAAACTGTGTGCTGGAATGAAATTTCGATATTTAAAGGATTTACTCGAAGAATGTGTCTTAACATGTTTCATACAGCTTAATCGCAACGCAAAGCCAAAGGGACTTTTTTGTGGACCGCGTATTTAGGTGCAGTTTCCTGTGTGAACAATTTGACACGAGATTATTGACATTTAAGAACGTTTTAAAAGATCTCAGATTAACAATCATCGAGTTTAGCTGCGCATGGTTCCAAGAATCTGCGCCGGACGGCGAGGTTTCGTTTTGATACGTGTTCATAGATATTAAATTACACGCTAATCCTAAGCAATCGTGTTCACTTAAGTATATATATAGAACAATGTAGGCCCATTGCTTGTATAGAGCGTGTTTGGACATAAATCGATACTAATAGAACCGTTAAAGCAGTTTCTTTAAAGATTACGTCATTCAGTTGATGATAGCAGCTAAGTGCTCTTTTGCATATTTTCAAATTGATGATCAATTGAGATCAAGTTTCAGCTATTCCGTCAATAAATAAATATTGTGTTACATGCACGACGTGATTAAAGCCACGCGTTTAAAAACACTTTCATTATGCATGTATGTAGTCCCATGTGGCGAGTATCATTTCAGTTTTAATTTGACACACGAGCAGCATTTATTTTTAAATTTAGGGCTTTTCTATATGGAGTTAGCGAGTTAACTCGGCTAGGCGAGGTGAAAACTGCATATAATGAAAAAACTAATCAGGTCATGGTGCCGGACATATATTAAATATTGGGAATACATTACGATGCCCTCCCCTCAAAATTGATTTTAATACCAATGACAATGTTCTCTCAATATTTTAGGAAATATATCGCCTAAACTTTTGGCACTGCCGGTTAATACTTTGTCTCATGTTCTCGTGTAATATTTTTTGTATAATTTTTTTCCGCTCACTTAATCCTGCTAATGTGTGAAAAGGTGTTATTTACAAGTCTCTATATTACAAATTTCTCTGTGACACCGTGGACACGTAGGTCATTGACCCGTTGTACAATTTACACCAGTCTGGTATAACACCTTATTCCACACATCTTCTCCTTCGTCTAATCTGTAAACTACGCTGCAGTTCTGGTTCACAGATAAAATCCTCGATCCTCCGATGTATTTACGACCACCAATGTTGTTTCCTGCCGCACCGTCAGCCCAATAGTATGCACAGCGGTCTACGTTGAGGTAATAAGTAACTTTTGAATCATCTAAAAAAGAGGCAAAGATTTGTTTTTCGAAAATATTTTTAGTTCACCACTGCGCTGACCAGATAACAGTGATCTCTTTGTGAACTGGATCGATAACTCGACCGCCATGTTTGTAGCCAATCTGAAGCCCAAAAGGGTACAAGGTCAACGATCGCGCCAACAAAAACAATAGAAAGGGACAGGCACTGGCACGCCATTTCGGATTCAAATTGGATTCAAAGATGGCGGCCAAATAACCATCAGTTATCGTTCCAGGGTTTATAGAGTTCAATGCCAGATAATGCAACCAGAATTCAACTTTCCCCCCCTGGAACCCGCACAAATAATTGATTTTGTATTAAAACGAAATTGGATTAAAATACTTTCACGTTCAGCTTTTTGCTTTGACTTACTCTGGATAAAATGCAAGAAATGTGAAAAAGTTTAGGATTCAATCTGTCGTTGTACGACAATTTAAATTACGAATATGGAGAAATCTTAGAAAAAAAACTTTTTAGATCAATTTTAGTTTTTCATCAACAGTAAAAGAATTTTGAGCAGATGGCAATTTCTGTATAAGGTCGGTGTGATAAACTGCATTAGCCGAGGCTTAATTTTGCCGGTTAACGTCGAGGCTCTCTCGTGAACTGATGAACATGAATACCTTTTATTTTCGTGTTTCGTGAAAACGAAATTCCGACTTTGTCTTGCAATCCTTCATAAGTAAATTCAATCCCATGTATAGGAAAATCCTGAAAAAAAATACCCTCTGTAATTTGAATAGAAATGCCTTTGATAAATCATATTCATGTATTTATGTTTACTCACGGTAAAAGCAACAAATCAAAATGAAAAATGAATAACACCAATATATATGATTTAAAATTTGTTATGGGATTGACACCGAATATTAGGATGGCCACAGAGATTATAAAAAATAATCCCACTTGGTAAATGTTTATGGAAATATTTTAAGAAGTTATTAAAATGTTATTAAAAAGTTATTAAAAAATTATTAAAAAAATATTAAAAAGGTATTAATAGGTTATTAAAAAGTTATTAAAAAGTTATTAAAAAGTTAATAAAAGGTTATTAAAAAGTTATTAAAAGGTTAATAGATTAAGTTATTATGTTATTTATTAGTTATTAGTTTCAGACACTTTAATGCATGCGCAACTAAACACACGTAGTTTAAAAACGATATAAAGCACTTTTGCGCATTTCTTCTGCTCATAACGCACTAATTAGCATTCCAGGTGTCGCAAGCTAACCTTTGAATAATAATAAAAGCTTTGTCCTTTTTGTGATTTTTATTCAAATAAAATTCCAGAGCTGTTGAAAAGACCCTTGGTATGCATGTTCCCGAGTTATGAGCACAAGAACATACACAGAACAGCGCATGCTCAATTTAACTGTACCCTATTCAGAGCTTCGTTTTTATAGTGATAAAACAACTCGTGGTTTGGGACAGACCCCCTTCGACATAACCAATAGCGGAACATTGATCCTGGGACTAGCCACTGATACAGAATACATATGGCCAAACCAATAGAAAGAAGAACGGCAATAGAGTAACATTTAAGTTCTGAAACATAGAAAAACATTAAAATAGCAAAATAACTTTTTTATAAGTAATTTAGCTTGTAGGTATATACACCACGTAAGTATTTGATACTGCAAAGCTTTCGCAGTATTATTAAATACTTACGTGGTGTACCTACAAGCTAAATTACTTATCGACTGTCACCATGCAAACATACAAGAATATTATTACAGAACTCTTTTTATGCTTTTAATTTGCGTATATTTGTGTTTCAAAATCATAAATTGCAAATGCTTTCTAATGTAAAAAGAGTGAATGAAATTCCACGTGAATTACATTAGGTATTATCATTGTAAATGGCTCATCACTAAACCAAAAAAATAATAAGGTCCTTTAGTATATAAGACCATAACGCGGATGAAACACTCTTTCAAATACATGCTATGGCAAAGAGTGGTGGTCATAATTTTTATCAATCGTATCAAATTCAAAGAGATTATAAGCCCGTGAAAAGAGGTAAAAAAGGGTAATATTGGCATTGAAAATTTAGTTTTATAATCATATTTTTCAAAACAAGATGAATCGTAAATCGGTAAAATATTTCAAGTAAAGATAAATCGTAATCTCTTAGAATTGTAACAGACTAACAGGGTATTTTTAGTTGCATTGATAAGCTCGCAAGCAGGCTAAACCACAAATTCGGCGAAGTTTAAACAGTGTTCAAAACGCAGATGGGTCTCAGTTTTTTCGTATTGAATATAAATTTATAAAAGGATACTTACTTTTCCAAGTTCTTTTGTGTGCATTTCTAATTTCTTCACGAGTTCTTTTTTCATTAACTTCATAAAGTTCTTCTATCTCATCAAATAATTCCCGTCTGTTAACATCAAGTACTATACACACGAAACACTTGACCAGTTGAACATCATCAAGCATCGTGGTACATTTCTTTGTTTCCAAAGCCATGCCAAGTAGCACATGTTTCTTACGAAGGAAAGATCCCACAGGCATATACGATTGTGGTATAGCCTTACCAGGATTATTCGAGGATGCATAAATTCGCTCACCATTCTCAATGCTTCCTACAACTTTAACGTTGACTATACCGATTACGCAAACTGTGTCAGTTTTTGTATCTATATTGAGAGGATACAAATTACAACAGTTAAACGATACTGGCGTGTGACACCTTGTGATGCAGAAAATCTCACTGGGGTAAAAAACCGAGATCACTTGACGAAAAGGACTTTGTTACTGACTGGAACCAGGGATTATTTCAATAAATTGTCAGCCGTTAAAAGGGGGCGGGGGGTGTTGAAGCCCGGATAAAGGTATACTATAATATAGAGTAATGCCACAAAAAAGCTATATAAATTATGCAGAGTTGGTAGCATTGTGGTAATTATTTCGTAAAAGCAATTTACAAAGTTGTAGCGACTAGACGAGGAACAGTTACATACTGCCGAATTTTAGTATCAGATGTATGAAATGCATGCTGTATTCTATTTAGCTTTTAGCTTTTAGAGGATTAAACGCTGACAGTAAAACACAAAACATCACTGTTTGCTTATCCACTAGTGTATAGGCGTATCAAATTGACTAAATGCCTCGTGATAAATAGGATTTCCAGAAAGACTATAAGTAGAATTAATTATACGTGATTAATTTTGAATTTGTTAGATAATTATAGCAATATATTTTCCTGGTGGGGGTGGCTCCCAAGACTTCCCCTGGCTACGTTCCTGCAAATGTGCAAGAAATGGTAAAATCCATGTAAATATAAAATCGTTTTAGAAAATACCCTGACCTGGGTTTTGTGGCTTGTGACCAGCCAACCAATGGGAACGGCTAACAACACCTGCATGGATTGCATTATGGATATTGCCATGGCGCAGGGGTTCGATATATGTTTCACCAGATTCATCATTGAAAAACCCGACAATATCTCCTTCATCGAGGTCATCAACAAACTGATCAGGGTCCTTTAAAGTTAAATGGTAAGCCAAATCGGCTTGTTCTGTCTCTACGTTCAATCGTCCACCAAAATGGACATTTTTTGCGACTAATTTTTCAACATTTGCTGTCTTTGCGTCCAGAACATCAACCAGAATTTGTTCGTGTCTCCTTTCCTCTACAAAGAGGTTGAGATACTAAACATATACGAATATGTGATGAAAATAAAGTGAAGAATGGTAAATTCATAGCAATAAAATATAGATTAATTCATGGTTGGCAAGTGCGTACGATTTTATGCATGAGTTGTGAATGATCCTTCACAACGAGTGTATAATAAAAATCGTACAAACGAGCCAACCATGCATGAAGTAATTTGTTTATTAAATGTGTATGGAGATAAATTCGCTCTTAATATATACAAAAACACAGCGAGCAACAAAAATCGAAATTTTATGCATCAAAACATACTCATTAGACATTAATGTTCAATTTCTTTGTAATTTTGTTCAATATAAGTTAGATATTCTTTGCAATTTCCATTGTTTCCATTTCGACACTATCTTGAAAGAAATTTAAACAAATTCCTGCCAAAATGACATAGGACAATTTTTCATGTGTAAAGAATATCGTACCAGTAAAATACGATTTTAATTTCATCATTCTGCTGTGCATAAATCTCTATACATGCACATATAATAAATAGATTTATGCATTTAGGTGTGGAGGAGGATTTTGTACTGAAATTAAGAGTATTTAAGAAAATTAGTCGCTGAAGTCGAAATGATTACAAGCCTATATATGTGAATATAGGTTTGTAATCACCATGCAAGTTTGAGGCGACTAATTGTTTTAGAAATAGGTGTTTACAAATATTAATCAACACAATTTCATAAAAATTTATAACAGTTCTTTTTTGAAAAAAAAAACACCAAAAAGCTATAGTCACCGACCAGTGACTATCACTTCTGAGACAGTGAGTCTTGCCCAATCAGAATGCAGGAAAAACAATAGTCACCTCGAAATTTATACTAAATATAATTCAGTGACAGTGAACAATTTTAGAATGAAAATGAAATTTCTCATTTGACTTTCATTTGACTTTTTGCAATCAAGAATACCTCTATCCAATTGTTCTTGTATTTGCTCTTCCGATTGAGAACCGGTACCTATAAGAATAATCACCACACAAATATGCTGTTGCGAAAGTTTACCGTCGGCAACTTTTACATACTCACCTCGCGATGTAGAGGGGGAGTCATCGGGTCTCGGCCTTTTCTCCGCTACTGAAAAAATTAAATTCAGTCAAATGTAGGCAAATAAATTCTAGGCAAATATTTAAGTCTAGAAAGCATTATTTCCAATTGTAGTAATTCGGATCCACCCCCCCCCCCCCAAAAAAAAAACAAACAGCCTGCGAACAGGTTGTACGGTTGTTGAGTTCAACAAGTTAGCTTGAGAAGTTATAACAATTTTGGCGACGAGGGAAAAAGCGAAAATTATCGGATAATGGCAAGTTTGTATGGGACAATTGGTCCATTTACCAAGAAGAAGAAACGTGGCATCGAAAGGTTAGAGCAATATTTTATAGCGAACGACGTCGATGTACATTTAAAATGTACATGCTGCTATTGTTTTCGTTATGGTCAATTGGAATTCAGTGTTGAAGATGGTTGTGTCCTATGGGGCTCACGGGTAGTTATCCTACCCCCAGGCAGATCAAAGGTATTGGCAGAGCTTCATGAAGCTCACCCTGGAGCTCACCATGTGTGGTGGCCCAGTCTAGACACAGACATCGAGCAGCAGGTAAGGAGGTGTAACCAGTGTCAGCGCCACCAGTCCTCTCTAGCAGCTTCACCCCTCCACCCTTAGGAATGGCCTGGCCATCCCTGGAGTAGATTGCACATTGATTATGCAGGCCACTACCATGGTGAAATGTTTTTGATCGTGATAGATGCTTACACTAGATGGCTGGACGTCCACCTCATGAAATCCACCACATCGACAGCTACTATCGAGAAATTAAGAGAAATGTTTGCCACACCATAATGGCACCAATCTTACAAGACTTATGAAAACGTAAAAACTTATGAAACGTAACGGCATCAAGCACATCCGCATGTCACCCTACCACCAAGCATCCAACGGGCAGGCTGAACGAGCAGTTCGGGTTTTTAAAGTGCCTATATCACTCGTGGGATCTTTATGCATTTGAGAAGAACGTAAAAAGTTAGTTAATATATTAAAAAACATTTTTTGATTTAGTGCGATAATTTCGAAGATACAAGCCTCTAAACTACCTGCGGTTCCTGAGTCCCAACCTCCTGGGTTTAAACACGGCTATTCAATTTGAAACTGCCCATTGTTTACAGGAGCCTGGGACTCAGGAATTGCAGGTAGTTTAAAGGCTAGTATCTTCAAAATTATTGCACTAAATCAAAAACTTTCTTTAATATATTAACTAACTTTTTACATTCTTTTCAAATGCATAAAGATTCCACGAGTGATGTAGGCATTTTAAGGAAGGTATGGAGAACATGCAAGATGGTATCAGAACAAGGTTATCAAGGTTCCTTTTCAATTACCGAATAACACCCCACACCACAACGGGAGTTGCGCACTTGCGCTTGCAGAGATGTTGATGAACACACTTGGATCTGGTACAACCGATGGTGGAGGAGCATGCGATTGATAAGCAATTCCATGGTCTATGACCAGCATGCGAAAGAAAGAGTATTCGACGCGGGAGATCAGGTGTTCGTGAAAGATTTTCAGAAACCGAAGGCATGGTTGTATGGAACGATTAAGATAACTGGACCGGTGACGGCAGAGATACTGTTAGAGGATGAACAGACCATTCGACGTCATTTCGACCACGTGCGAATACGCACAACGGTAACAGAAGAACGTACAACGGAGGTTGCAGATGAGATATTACCACCAGTCAGGGAAATACTCCAACCTGAGCAAACTGAAGGGGTCCGTCCTGTAGTAATTCGGATCCACCTTCCCCCCAAAAAACAGCCTGCGAACAGGTTGTAACAAGTTAGCTTGAGAAGTTATACATCAATAATCGTATTAGATTAAAATTATGTGTTATCACCTCCCATGCCTTACCTGGTGGCTTATCTTTAGTTTGCAAGATGAAAGTTGGACTTGTAAATTTTTCGCTCAGGGAATTATCAATAAACTCCAATTGGACAACCAGTTGGAATTCGTTCAGTTTCACATCCGACTTTGATAATTCAAACACTGGTTTGTTAGGAATGTTTCCAGAATATATTCCATGAAGGTCCACTGTAAACGGTTGCTACGACAAATGGAAAATATTTGGTGATCTCATATGATTTTCTTCATATAATTATTTTGTTGATTTTTGGTGCACCAAATTTCTAAAATTGCGGAATATGTCATCTTTTAAAGGCAGAAAAGAAGACGCTTTTTATACATTCGCTTTTCTATTTCAATTTATTTTCATTTTTATAGGAAGTATACGATATGTTAACTGTAGTTATTGATTATGGTTGCGTCTGATTTATCTGATTCACGCCATGCGAAACGTTAACAGCGTGTCTAGGTTTTCCAGTCGGAGAGAAAGAAGTGGAAATTTGCACGAATTTACTTAAACGTTGATAAATGATTTATGGGTCAATAAAGCAAGGACCTGAATGCAAGAAACTGGCACCAAATTTGATAATGAAGACAATTTAAACGGGCCTCGTCACTGCACGTGGAGGTGTATGGTATAAATCTGCCCCCCCGGTGGCGACTGCATGCAATACGTCAAGCAGGGCCGTCGCTTGAAGAGCCAGTGTATATTCATATATTAGGGAGTTTAAGATCGGCTTCCGCTACCAATACCACTACCCGAGTATCGATACCAATATTCAGTCACGTGCATGCGCAGACGTAACAATCATCCAAAATGTGACAACACCGGAAGTCGCGAGTACCGTTTTGGGGCTGAAAATGGAAGTGGATAGGTAGGCGAAGTACCGAATTATATTTACTGTATTATTGTCATTTTCTGCAGTTGTTTTCTAATATTTTATTTAGTTTTTAGTTGTCAATGTTTCTGCTTTGTTTGTTGAGACTTAAGGATTGTGATTAGAGTTTTTGATGTGAATACAGCCGCTATACTCCGCCATGTTTATTTACTTCTTATATACGGAAGTAAAATTTCCGCACTGCCAAACTGTAATACGTCATGTATTTTCGTATCGGTACTAGTAGTGGAAGTAGATCTTAACCTCCCTATATTCATGTTCGTGCAACCGCGTAGAAAAGCTAGCTGAAAAAAGAAATGAGTCGAAGACAAATATGCGAAAGTGCCAGCTAGCTACCCAAAAAGTACTAAACCTTGACCTAATGTCTTAACGAGAAGACAAATTATTGAAAACTTGAAAACCCAAGTCAAAATATTATACAAGAATTCTACATCTTTTGTGTTAACCTCAAATCTTAGGTTTACAACATAGTATTTTTCGGAGTTTGTTTCGTTTTTCATTTAACCTAACTTTTTTCGAGAATTCGTGCTTCCATTCCCCACCCATACTTACCAAAAAGCCATCTTCTGTGTGAGCAAGCCTGTCTGTATCTTTTATGAGATTCAAAATTTCTCCAGTATCTTCATTTTTTAAAGGAACCTCGCCATTGTTGTCGTGGAAGGCCGCTGCATTTTTACGTTTAACCCAACCATATATCTTATATAACTGGGCATTCGTCCTTGCTTCCATGTGAACCAACCTTTGCTTTTTTATAACCAATTGTCTAGACTCTGGAATCCATCCCTTCCTTCGATATTGGTCTTTGTAAAATACTTTTCCGGGATATAAATTCTTGAATTTCACTTCGGCAAGCACTAAAATTGATCATGATATTGCATGGGTTAAACTTTATCTATAAGTATTCTTTGACAATGTGATAAAATCAGCCTAAATGATTGAATAGTGTTTCATAACGGGCCGCTGACCAGCATTTTTCATTCGGCTTGCTGTGAAATATGTCGGATGTGTGAGATTATGTTCTGGAAACCTGTAATGCAACTGAATCCGCGCCGTGTGTGATCGCTAACAAAGAAAAGTACATTTTTGAGGGATGTTGGATCGATACCAAGTGGTGCTTTGGCGCGTTACGTTATTTTGGCAAGGAAGTTTCCTGTTTGGAAAGAGGGCAGTGTCTGAAATTACAAGATTGGAAGTTTGACTTGTTTTCGATCACACATATCAAATATAGATTAAAGCTGATTCAAAACCGTTTGTTGCATAAACGAGTAAACGACGCGCTAGCTAAAGCTAAACGGCTGTAACCTTAGTAATAAATGCTGAGCATGTGGTCTGCTTAGTGTCAAATGGAGTTTCTTCGAAAAACAGGTGGCATTTTTTCCGAGAAATGCTTATGTTTAGGTTCAAGGTATAGGTTCTAAAATTGTAAATAACAATAAATATAGATGTGTTTAGGGATTTGGTTGTTAAACTAGTATAAAAACCCGACATTCAATACTAAACATCCCTCATCCGTGAAGTTGCAGGAATTCGCTAGTAATTCGGTCGCTGTTGAGACAAAAAAAGCAGATGAAATCATGTCATTATTTATTTAAGAGCGTTGCCTATTTGCATGTAAAACATTAATGTTGAGCAACGAAAATTTTTCTAACTCAGCCAATCAACGCGCGCTAATCCATCCAAACGTGTTTAATAGGCAAACCATATATGGACAAACTGAACAAAGAAAGAAATAGACTGAAAGTTGCAGTTAAAAATTGTTGATCTTTGTTGCTTACTGTCCGTCCTCGATTGCAATGAACAAATTTGTTAATTTTGTCGGGTTAAGACCATTTCATAGGGGAAAACCTTTATCAAGGCAATATAATTTGGGAAAACCCTAAGTAAACAGGATGTTTAAAACTATCACTTCCGCTCCTTGAAGACTGAAGTTATAGACTGTTGTCAAGGCAAACATTCACGTTAGTATAATTTCAACTAATATAGGAATACACGACCCGTTGGTGAACAGTATATTTTGATGTAAACGTACACTGAAATTTGTGTATACACACATAAGCGGAAAGCAAATAACCTACTATAATCCTACTTGCAATTATATTCATCTGCCTACACTCAACATATTTCAAGACCCTAAAATTTGATTTGAAAGTCATCACTATCGATTTGTAATGACGATTACGGGGACCATTTTCTGAGAATTATTGGGACTAGGATCACGCAAATATACCACTATAGAAAATACTTTGAAAAAATCTGACTTGTATTCATATATTCTCATACCGACGAAATATAAACAAACCTGTGTTTGGCGTTGGACTTATTGGATCATCGCATACGGAACTCGATCCAGCCTGTTGAAGTTCACTTAGAAAATCCATTCTTGTTTTCTGTTTAAAACGAACGATTTACCTGTTCGAAGGTTTTGTAATAATATCCGGGTCTATTCACATTTTACCGTTAGTGACTGTCGTCTATATATAGTGACAAGGATTACCGATTAATGCAGATTTTTGATGAAGTAAGGTGTTTATTGTTATATTGCTGAGTGCAGCGTATCAGTCTACTTCCTCGTTGTAATATAGATCTGCATTATTTCAATGTCATTGGTTTGAATGATTTCATATTCCTTTCACTTTCCGACATGCGTGAGGTCGCGGATGCGATTGTTGCCACGAGGCAGTAATTATGAATATTGCATCATTTGGGCCCAAACCTTCACGATCTTATAATAATTATGCAAAGCACTTTACTCAATAGATTTGTGGGTTTCAATTGTTGATAAATTTTAAAAATTTAAAAATTGGCATGTTCCAGGGCATGTGCAGACTTGCCATAAACTCCAACTGAGTTATGACGTAACGTTCTACAGGGTTCGAAAACTATTGAAATCACTCATTGTTAAAATTTGAATGCCGTGTTTACGAATTTTATCCCGTGGGGATTTAATGCAACTTATAAAATGCTAAATACGAAAAATTTGAAATTGTAAATATGACTAAATTTAAATTAGCTTTGTTATTGCTTTGAAAGAAAATGTTACAGTTGACCACGGAACAACGAGTGTTTATTGCGATATTACCCCAACATTCAAACTCTAACAACTACATTGTTATGGGTGATTTCAATAGTTTTCGTTTTTTTTGAGACACCCTGTATAACGATATTACGGGGTGAATATTCATATCAGTATATATATTCAGTTCTGCCCGACGGATTTTTTTTGTGAAGTGCAATAGCCGTTTACAATAAAAATCCGTCGGGTAGAACTGAGTATTACAGATTTACAGGTTACTGGTTACAGGTTCAGGCAGTTACTGGGCCTTCGGTATTTATATGGTCAAGTGAGTATATTCATCATAGACATTGTTGCAAAGTGGTTTAGAAGGTGCAGGAGAAGCAACTTAATTGCCTGAATACAAGGGGTGCCTATCGCCTTTTCCCACCAGGTTAAGGGGCTGTTTACATGATCCAGTTTAGAGATTCAACGAAGCGTGAATTCATATGTTGTATAAAATGATGAAATTGAGGTTTAATGGTAAAGAATATAGCATAGCTAATTTTAGGAATCAAATAGCTAATTTCAGTAGGAAATTTTTGTCACTGCACATGTCATCACCGGCAATAGTATAGTGGAGAGGGGCATGATAAAAATGGTCCTAACTGGAAATTGGTAATTCAAAAAGGCGGGATTGTAGAGGGTCTCACAGGACCTCTTGCAGAAAATTTTCTGAATTTTTGAGTCCCTATGGCTTGATTCCAGCATTTTGGGGGACAACCACTTATGGCATCTGGAGTGAGGTCTGTTTAGAAAAACTCCATTTACCACTGTACATTTCTCATTTTATCACTGCACATTCTACTTTGTCACTGCACAAATTGGTTATCACTGCACACTAAAATTAGAGTATGGCACAAGTGCCACAAGTGCTGTGCTAATCTCTGCAACGCAACATGACATGATGTTCAAACCTTATTTATAGTAAACAACGGTTTATTGTCTTTTTAGAAGTTAGGTGAAACTTTTAGGGTAAGTGCAGCCTCGTTCCCGGCGCGTGTTTTAAAATGAGTAGGGCCAAGAGGGCCTGGCAGAGTGATCTACGTATATGTTTCCCCATATATCATGTAACTTACCCAAATATCATGTAACATGCCCTAAAGCACCCCACGTTCCTACACATGGTCATATACTGTCTGTATAAATATTGGAATCGAAGTTGAGCTCCACATTGTTCGAAAATCAAAATTGGTTGGTTAAAGTCAAGTAAAGTAATTTACATTCTTACTAGTGAGTATACACTCTTATCTTTATAAACAGGGGTCGGTTGTATCAAGCCCGTTTAGCTTAAACAGTGGTAAGTTCAAACTAGAAAGGAAGTCTATCGTTTTATTCAACAAGCGAACTAAATGTTTTGACCTTCATACAAAGATACTCTTTACAACTACATATTCAGTACTAATAATATTCAAGTTGACTCATTCAAGAGAGATGTAAGAGTGTTATTTAATTTTGACTTATCCACCGTGGCCCGTGCTATAACTGGCCCCATGGCTGTCTTTATAGAAATGTTCTGTTATATAATACACAACAATTGTCACCATGACCAAAAAGATAGAAATCTAAAATATTTGGAAAATGTTTATATTTATAGTTACTATGCTTGTGTATTTCTTTAAAATATCCAGTACTACTCCAAATTTTGGTTATAAAATACCATGAGTTTTACTAGCTGTTATAGAGTGAAATACAATATTTGTGTCACTGACTCACAGTCACTGAATGCAAATATTTACATTGTATATGTATACATTTCATAAACTTAATTGTTTGCAGTTTCCAATATTAACATATGTGAATGATATGGTTTGATATTTTATATATTAGAATCATACATTGTGCATATCAGTTTATTCTAGCAATTAAACCAACCCCCAACCAAGGAATTTGTACTGTTGGTACTGTTAACAGACAGTTTACATGATTTTGCTGTGATTTTAAATGTGATAGAAATGTGTGAATAGCGGTGAATTTCTAGCTATTACATGCTATTATAAATGTGCACCTAATGTCTTATTGGTTACAAAAATTGTTGAAATAAACACAAATTTAATGTTTTTCAACCCCTCTTGCATCTTGGTTACCATGCAAGGTCTACATGGGTGAAATTATCCCTGTGCACCTACTGTACCTGTAAATCTGCACTGAACATTACACTTAAAATTGCTGCAAAAATCACCTGTGTTATCCTATCAATACAATATCAGGCAATCAAGCTATATACACCTTCCAGCTGCATTTTTGAAGGATTTCTGATTCAGTTCCTCAAACAGTATATATAAATACAGTACACTGATAACAATATATACAAGATGTATATTTAATATTAATGATGTAATTTTTCTTCCATTTTTTTCCAAGCCATTATCAAAGAATTAGTCCAAATATAACTAGATAACATCACTTAATTCTACTGATGTCTTTATAATAATTATACCTTTAAAGGTTATTAACTTCTTCCTTTTCTTTCCTGCACAAAATTTCATTTTAAATTTCTTGCACAATATATCATATGAGAATTGTAAATGAACCAACATTGCATGTGATTTGTACCATTTTTGTGGTATAGTTTCAAAGATGTGCATGTCGGTATAAAATGTAATTAACACCTGCGCTAACTGTGGTTAATCGTCACTCATTTACTGTGTTTGGTGAAAGTGAAATAAGAAACAATAATGCCTCAAACACAGGATTTCTTCAAAGCCACATCACAATATTGATTAACTGTAATAAGTTTTTTATTTTATGTTCACTACAAACTATAGATGCTGACAGTCATTCATTGCATCCATTCTACCCTCTTTCCTGTTGCTAATTGGTTTGTAAACTTTACATGCATATAGTAGTTTACATTTTGCAAAGCTTCACATGTTATCAGGGGTGCGACCTACAGTGGGATATTCACATTTTTGTCTGGGTCTGTTCTGGGACCTAGGTGAAGGTAGCTCACATGGTGTTGCCATATGTGTGGCTATGATGAACAAAGCGAGAATTGGCATGCAGTTATATTAACTTATTCTCCTATACTGGCACTTGGATTCCAGGATGCGTCCTCTCACCACCGTAGGCGTTTTAAAACATTGCTTAATCTCCGGTCATGCTCCGCCAAGCTTAGAATTTTATGTACTGTACCATGCATGGACAACAATAGGCATGTTTAGCATGTGACGTGAATGTCAAAGACGACGTGAATTGGCGAATAAATGGCGTAGCATATCCATATATAGGCGCATCACGTCATTTATTCGCCATTTTCACGTCCCATTTGACGTTTACATACGTCTTTTTGCTAAATCTGCCAAACATCAATCCTATATAACAATAAAGACGTGTAGGTATAGCAAGAGAAGTTCTGTACCTCCCGAAAACCTATGTTCAACGTGGAGGTAATCTCATATAAATCTAATCTTTACGCTCGTTTACACTTGCAATTTTTGCTGCAATTTTATGTGCGATTAGGCGATTATATTGTCTTGATTGATATGAACGAGTAGTATTATTAATGTATTGTAATTATAGATCTTGGTAAAACTTGTACAAAGAAATAATTCGGGCTGATTATAACGGGATTATAACGTGTGAACACCACACTCAATCCCGTTTATACTACATACCAATTTTTGGCAGGGCATGGCTACAATAGGTACCCGTATCAATTTCATTTGGCCTTTGTATTGGATGTGGGTACCAATTTTAGCCGTGCCGTGCCAATAAATTGAGCGTAGTGTAAACGGGGCTCCTCTTTTATAAGACCACTTTTATAGTTTCTTCATTTAGAAAAGTTTCACTTCAATAATAGTTTGCATTAGTTTGCATAGAAATAAAGTTTGCATTCAATGTTCTAGAGTGAGGAGACTGAGATCTAGTGGTCGGTAGTAATGGCTGGTTCAAAAGAAGACACGCGGGAACAATTTCGAGCAGAAGTTCAAGAGTGTGTCAAAAGTGGTGGGGACATTAACAGTAAATATGAAGGGAATAAAACATTTCTCTTGCGTGCCTTTGAGTTTAAACCAGTAGATGAAGAAATCGTCAAATATTTAGTTGAAAACGGGGCCGATCTGAATTACAGAACTAATGTTGGCTGCACAGTTCTACAAAGTGCGGTAGAGTCAAATTTAGTTGATATGGTGATGTATTTAGTTGATCATGATGCGGATGTAAATTGTATGAATCGTTTAGGCCTTCCAGTTCTTCACAGCGCTGTAAAACGTGGGTCACTCGATATAGTGAAGTGCTTGATAAAGAACGGCGCTGATGTGAATATTGCTGATCGCCACGGCAATACAGTTTTTCACAAGGCTGTATATTTCCAGTCATTAGATATTCTAAGATATCTTGTTAAGGACGGAGTTGATGTGAATTGGGAAATTGTCGCTCCTCTTGTTTTTTCGTTTTCCGTGAAATCTGGTTCGCACGACATTTTGGAGAGCTTATTCGAAAGAGGGGACAATATAAACTTCAAGGATAACGAAGGTTGCTCATTCCTCCACACGGCTGTAAACAACGGCTTGCTAGATATCGTCAATAGTTTAGTGGAACATGGTGCTGACTTGAATAGCAAAGATAACAGCGGAGACTCTATTCTGCACAGTGCTGTTAAACATTACCTACTACACTTAAAAAATTCGGCTGATAATAAAGCTGATGTGGATGGCAAAGGGAATGAAGATGTTTTACAGTCTCGATTATTTGGCATCGTGAATTGTTTGGTTGAACACAACGCTGAAATCGACCAAACAAATAGCGAGTTTGGCTCGACACCACTTCATATTGCAGCGCAATTTAAGTCACTAGAAGTTGTCAAGTATTTAATTCAAAATGGAGCCAATATTAAGTGCAAAAATTATAAAGGTAGATCCGTTCTTCATTGTGCCGTGCAGTCTGATTCTTTGGAGATTGTGAAATATTTAGTTGAAAAACGTAATGCTGTAATAAATGACAAAGATATGAATGGCGAGTCTGTTCTTCACTATGCTGTAGAAAAGTCATTTCCAATTCTCAAATATTTGGTTGAACATGGAGCTGATGTAAACTGTAAAGCTGATGGTGGCAAACGAGTTCTTGATATTGCTATTGAATCTTTCTTGCCGGACATTGTGAAGTATTTATTACAAAACGGGGCGAATCCAAATGATGAAGATGGAAGATCATTTCTTCATTTTGCAGTAAACTCTGAAAGTGACATGATTGTCAAGCATCTTGTTGAACATGGGGTTGATATCAATAAACAGGACGATAGTGGCAAGTCGGCACTTTTTCTCGCTCTGAAAAATGGATCCCTAGATACTGCAAAGTATTTAGTTGAAAATGGCGCTAATCCAAATTGTAAAATTGATTCTCGGGTAACTCTTCTTCAGCTTGCTTTATATTCCTATGGACCAGACCTTGTGAGGTATTTAGTTGAACATGGCGCAGATGTTGATGAAAAATGTAAGGATGGAGAGACGCTCCTGAACGTTGCTTTTACATCCGGTTCACGAGAAATGTTAAAGTGTTTGATTGAAGACTGTCGGGCTAATATTAATGCACACGGTTTTTTAGGCAAAACAGTTTTACATGTGGCGATAGATACTTCTAGTTCAACCCTGGATATTATTGAATACTTAACTGAACATGGAGCAGATCCAAATAATACCAATGATCTTGGACAGACTGCACTACATTGTGCTATGAGGGGGCGTTCTTTAGATTTTGCCAAGCATTTAGTTGAGAACTGCCATGTAAATGTAAATGCTGAAGATATTTACGGGAACATAGCTCTTCACGATGCTGAATCGTTAGATAAAGTTGAATATTTGATTGAACACGGGGCTGATATAAACAAGAAAAGTAAGCACGATAGAACAGTTCTAGTAAGTCATGCCTGGCGTCATAGATTTGATGTGGTGAAATATTTAGTCGAGCGTGGGGCAGATTTGAACCAGTCTGGTCTTGCCGACACAACAGTTCTATCGACCGTTGTAGGACAACGTGAATTAGAGTTGGTTAAATATTTAGTTCAACATGGGGCCGATATAAATCATATCGATAGTCATGGCCAGACTATCGTGCATGAAGCTGCGATATCAGATTCACTAGATATTGTGAAATATTTAGTTGAAGAATGTGGTGTTATTGTAAGTACTGACGACGAACGGGAGATAGAGATTTTAAACAGAGTTCTTTCGGTGGACATGATGGCTTATCTGCTTGAACATGGTGTCGATGTAAACAAGGAGAATAGCGACGGCGAGACACTTCTTTTCGATTATTCTAAAAATAATTATTTAGAAATGGTGAGATGTTTGGTCGAACACGGAGCTGACGTGGATCACATTAATGCACGGGGCAGGACAGCTCTGCATTATGCTACGATCTTCAATCATCTGAATATTGTGACATATTTGGTTGAAAATTGCCATGCTAATGTGAATAGTGAAGATGTTTACGGCTGCACGGTATTGCACGGGGCTGCAAAATCTCGTTTACTGACAATGGTACAATACTTAGTCAATCATGGTGCTAATGTTCACGCTGTGAGCAACGATGGCAACACTGTTCTACACAGTGCTGCAGAAGCTTCCTCATTCGGCGTTGTTGAGTATTCACTGCATAAATATGGGAAGAAAGCAGGCATATCACCCCAAGACATACGTCATACCTATCGAAACGCCCAAGTAAGCAATATTTCCTTAAGTATTGTTGAGTATTTGGTTGAGCATTGCGACGCAGATGTAAATAGTCGCAATTTCAATGGGCAAACAGTTCTTCATGTGGCCACAAAATCCGGTGCACAAGATGTTGTGGAATTTTTAGTGATACATGGTGCTCAGGTCTGTGATAAAGATTTAAATGGTGACACAGCTATACATTATGCTGTACGTTTAAGTGCAGAAGACATTAAGAACATTTTAGTTGAGCGTGGTTATATAGGAAACACATACACTACTTTCCATAACCTTGCTGAAACGAGTCTCCAAGTTGTGAATGAGTATAGTCTTCGCGAACCGCATGTTATAACCGAAGAGGATAATTACACCGCGGCACCTGTCTTCAAAATGATGAAATTTAATGCGCTTGACATTGGAAAGTTTTTAATCGAGCAGGCAGCTCCTGTCGATCAGGCCAATTTTGGAAGTAATGCAGTCTTACATTGTGCTGTGAGCTCAGGTTCACGAGATATTGTTGAATATCTGATTGAAGGTTTTCATGCTGATGTGAATGCTGAAGATGACAATGGCTGCAAAGTTTTGCATAAAGCTGTAAAATCTCATTCATTGGACATTGTGCAATACCTAATTAAACATGGAGCCAATGCTGATTATGTCAATAGTGCAGGCAGGACAGTTCTACACTACGCTGTAACATCAGATTCACTAGATATTATTAAATATTTAGTGGAAGGCTTTTGCTCTGATGTGAATGCGGAAAATACTAACGGTTGCACCATTTTGCACGAAGCGGCAAAATCATCTTCGTTAGAGGTTGTGCAATTCCTCATTGAACATGGGGCGAATGTGAACTGTATCGATCATCAAGGTAGGACAGTTCTTCATTATGCTGTGACCAGGCGTTCACTGGATACTGTCAAATACTTGGTTGAAAACTGTCAGGCTGATGTAAATGCTAAAGATGTAAACGGCTGCTCTATTTTACACGAAACCCGTTCAGTGGACACAATGAAATATTTACTTCAACACACGCCTGATGTAAACTGTGTTGATAGCAAAGCCAGAACAATACTTCATTATGCTGCCATTTCAAGTTCACTAGATGTCGTTAAATATTTAGTTGAAGATTGTCAAGCCAACGTGAACGCTGAAGATCTAAATCAATGTTCAGTTTTACATGCTGCTGTACATTCTCGTTCACTAGAAGGAGTAAAGTATTTAGTGGATCACGGTGTTGATGTCAATGCTATGAATATCAGCGGTTGCACAGTTCTACACAGTGCTGTCAAGTCGCGTTCTCTAGATATATTTGACTATTTGCTTAGACATGGTGCTGATGTCAATCGTATGGGTAATTCCAGGTGGTCAATACTTCACAGCGCTGTTAAAGCTAGTTCATATTCCTGTGTAAAACGTTTGATTCGTCTTGGAACGAATGTCAATGGTGAAGATATTTACGGCCTGACAGTTCTCCGCACTGCTGAGAGGTTTGGTTCGAGAAAAATTGTCGAATATTTAATTAATCATGGGGCTGCATGAACCTATAGACGTGCATGAAGCTGGAGTGCCACACAAATGTGTGACCTTGTTTTTTTTTTTGAAAGGAATTATTTTAGTACGATGTTCAGTTACATCTTTAGTGTTATGTTCAGTTACATTTAGTACCATCGAATGTAAGCCAGTAGTAATATGGCTTTCGTTAATCTTAACAATTAGATTAGAGAACTGTATTGTTATTCAAATAACTGTCTATTTACAGGGTGTTTCAAAAAAAAGGTAATCCAACTTCAACACGCTATTGAACGTGAACTACTCAGTCTATGAACGAATTTTTTTCACATTCGGAAAGATCAGGCTTTTAACTATCGAATGACATGTTTTTAATACCAAATGGTAAAAAAGTGAGCAGCTTGCACTGGTTTTATGCCGCATTGCTTGAAATGTTCTCCTGATGTGATTTATTCCTACTTAATATGCATATGCGGGTAGTTTATTCAAAAGCAAAATTCTTCAATTAAGTCCCAAAGAGAGTTAATTTTCAATGGTTTTAGTCCCAACTCTCAGAGGTGAAAATATGCGATTTTGACTAACACTTTTTATCAGCCTCCTATTTGCTGATTTTTTCACCATTTGGTATCAAAAACATGTCATTCGATAGTTAAAAGCCTAACATTTCGGAATGTGAAAAGAATTCGTTAATAGAATGAGCAGTTCACGTACAATAGCGCACCAAAGTTGGATTACCTTTTTTTTATACACCCTGTATAATACAATCGTTGTATTGATTTTTACCCCTCTTCTTTGGTCGTTTAAGCGCATGCTGGTGTATATCATCCTCGCGTTGTAACCTCATTAATAATTCATAAGCATTTTAGCCTATGCAATGAACCCTAAGAAGTCACATGTGTTAGCTTTATACGTGGTATAGTACCATGAAAACTAATTAGGATGGCACGTTATATCATTTGTCACGTTCATTAGTATTCTTTATACTATGTTTCATCCTATTTAGCATTTGTGTACATGGAGCAAATTGCTTGACAACAATGCAGCGTATTTGAAATAATTTAAAACACTCGAAGTCGCGTTTTATAATTTTAACTATGATAAAATGGCCGTTCTCGTGTTTTAAATACGACATACTTCCCATGAATATGGGAAACTTTAGGAAACATGTATATAATTACTCGAGCTAGGTTTCCGATTATAATTTTTTTTGTGTCGCAGGCTTAGTCTTCCCGGCGGACAGTCGCGTTTTTGTACAGTGTATCAATATAGCTCAAGTCTCCGTGCAGTAAATTTACCTTCTACATAGTTCGAATTAACGCCTACCGGACGTCTTGTTTATTACCAAATTTAACTTTCACCGACCGTTATGCGTGATGATACTAATCATGCACTACTGTGAACAAGTAAATAAAATTAGAGTGTGACATTGTATTTAGTTTCGCACCCAGCTGTTTTTAATGGCCGTCGTGCTATATTCATTTAAATCCCTAAATCTGTGGGAACTATATAGTGAAAAATCCCGTGATCTTAGGGGCTATTTACATGATCCCACTTAGCCGAAAGTCTTTATTGACACCAAACAAGCACATGCTATGTCGGGTTGATTACACGATTGCCAGGATCATGTTATATGCCGCTCGTTTCAATACCTCAAAGTCATCTCACGCTTCGTCGAATCTCGTCTAACCGGGATCATGGAAAAAGCTCCTGAAGCAAGGCATTAAAAAACATTAATCATCGCTAGATGGACTTAACTTTTTATAGCCATCATCATGTTTTAAAAAGTAGATATGCAAAACAAGTATGAAAAGAACGAGACCCGTCGTGCAGCAGTAAATCAGTAATGTCATCTGTGTGCCAAGGTTATCGAAAAGAACTCCCATCAGTGTGGAACCACCGTCATATCCAACAGAATGTAGTGTTTTTACCAAACCTAAAATGAACATTTAGATAATCATGGTCGGAAACAGGGGGGAGGGAATGCAGGGGAAAAACACATGTGGGCCCGGAGTGCCAACTGCCAAGAGTGGCGCCAAAATTATAAGAAAAACCTTGTGTTCGAAATCTTTTTTCTTTTTCTTAAACAATGGAGGCTATGGATAACCTTAAGTAAACTTAAAAAATTGTCTAAAATGTGCAATCACTATATAATTATTTTAAATGTTAGCTAAATGGCGCAAGAATATTTCTCTGCATTCCAGTGCAACTTATAATGCTTATAGGATTTGCTCCTGCAAGTACGTACGTTCTGAAGAAAAAACTAACGTATGGAAATATGTAAATTGCCAGAATTTCGTGTACGGCCTAATTTGACAATTTCGTTTTGTCCGTTATCGCGGACTACTCCTCTGCAGCTTTCTCAATCAAAAATTATCCTGTGACTACACCCCCCCCCCACCCCTATGGCATCCTATTTAACAGTTATTCTGCGAACTCGAGTCGTATATGAGCTGATAGGCGACGGGCGCATAGCGCCGAGTTGGCTATCGCCATATACGACGAGAGTGAGCACAATAACTGTTTTATTATAATTATACACAAACTTTGTCGCCCTTTCGGTGCATTTTGGTGTGCTATTATCAACTAAAGCTTGGATTTATATTTCACTCAACTCCCCAAATCCTTCGGCCATTTTGTTTACTTTCTCTACTAGACAGATATGAGCTAATATCTGTCTAGTAGCCAACCAATGAAATTGCAGCATACCTCATATCTGGCGCTTGTGTATATAATAAAGCCGTTTATAAGTTACACGAGTATGTTATTACCTTGGATGACAGCAGAATTTTCCTTTGATCCAGCTTTTGAAAAATGCACTGTCGTAGAACAAAGTATTCATGCATAAGCAGCCGCTTGAAATACATCTATGCCAAGAACAAACCAAGGTATCCGTGTGAAAGAAAGAGCAAGAAATGTGAATGAATAAAGAAGCAATCCCAAACATATCGTCTTTAATTCACCAATTTTTCGCATAACATTCCCTGACACGAAAGTTGAAAGACCTATAAACGGTCGTCTTATTAAAGCAGCTCCTCCTATCAATAATGGACTGGCCTGCAAATCATCCAAATACCAAAACTCCCAGGACATTTGAAACGAAGAACAAATACCACCGTAAAATACAACTAAGAACATAAAAACATAGTGAAAATTAAACAAACCAGATCTTAAACCTGTCCAGTTAATAGTTTTAGTCTGATCATACTCGAACTCAAACCACGGTAGAGAGACCATTGAGGATAACGCCATGCCACCAGCAACTATAAATACCAAACTATAACCATAATCCTCAATTCCACACAGTGTTATTCTTGTGCTCCAGGAAAGAAAAGCTACAGCGAAAATTGAAATGGCACCACCAATATGGGCCCACATACAGGGTGTCCCAAAAAAATGTCCCCTCTATTGAAATCAAGCTTTTGTTCGAATCTGATTGCCTTAATATTATGATAAACCCAATTGAAAGCAAGACGCTTTATTTGAATGCCTCAACCTAATAAATATGCTATTTACACACTACTGCGTTGATCATGCATTCAAATTCCAACAAAAGCTTCATTTCAATAGCGGGGACTTTTTTTTGGGACACCCTGTATAATAAACACCGAAATTGGAACTCTGTTCCTTCAGATATGTCACAACAGCAAGGCTTGCTAATGATGCTATCACGGTGTTAAAGACATGTTCATTGAGCGAGATAAAGTCATTAGAATGAACAGATTACTCGTCCAGGGCACGCTTTGCGACGTCTTTGCAGGTTCCTCAGCTGAAAGATTAGATCTCGAATTGGTCGCATCTGAGCTTGAATGCACTGAGCCGTTGTCGAATGTTTTGAATATCAAATTATCCGGATCGTGAGATGTTTGGTTGTGGCTGGTAAAACATGTAGGTAATGATACAACCAATGGCAGAAGAGGAAGGATACTAGTCAACGTGACACCAATACCAGCAATTATAGAAAGAGCGTTTCTTGCTCGAAATTTGTCTGCTCCGAGGAGTATAAACGGAACTAAACAATGTTGAACACCCATGAGAGTCGTGAAGCCAATTTGTTTAGGACTAAATCCATATTGCTTAAACGAAAGATGACAGAATTCTGCGAACAGTATTACGCTTCCGAAACAATTGAAATAGAACCATTTCAAAACCAGCGATTTGATTGAAAATATCGCCATATAATAATGTTAACAGACTGTTCGTTTACGCCTGAATACCTCGTCAACAGCCAAGTAATTATATTTCTTTGTTCCAACACAAAATTCTTTGCATATCAATGTGGTTAAGGCTCCCCGTTGTAAACCGAAATTTCTGACCTGTGCAAGATTAGATTAAGTCTTGGATTAGGTTTATAGTTGATTAGGATTTACTCTATTTCTTTTTTAACCTAATCTCATATTCAAGATTTAATCGCGTATATGCGATTTACTGAACATGAAGTTATAATACCGTGAAGTTTCGCGCGGTTGCAGATATCAATTTAACTTTAGCTAAATATTATGATTATTTGATTCAAAGCCGGTGGTATTATCTTCGTCCAAGCATAGGCAGCCCAATGGCGAATGGTTTTATTTGATTTAAAAATGTACACTTTCATGAAATTCACATATGTCATTTATTTACATGCTAATATACTTAATTCCTGTTACTTACAACGGGCGACTTGCGTGTCAGACAAGGCAATGTAGGTAGCTATTATACAGGGTGTCCCAAAAAAAAGTCCCCCCTATTGAAATGAAGCCTTTGTTGATTTGAATGCATGATCAACGCAGTAGTGTGTAAATAGCATAGTTATTAGGTTAAGGCATTCAAATAAAGCGTCTTGCTTTCAATTGGGTTTATCATAATATTAAAGGCAATCAGATTCTAACAAAGGCTTGATTTCAATAGAGGGGACTTTTTTTTGGGACACCCTGTATAGTATAATATATCCTACAGGATATAATCCTATAGGATATATTATACTACCTAGATTGCCTTGTCAGACACGCAAGTCGCCCGTTGTAAGTAACAGGATTTAAGTATATTAGCATGTAAATAAATGACATATGTGTGAATTTCATCAAAGTGTACATTTTCAAATTAAATAAAACCATTCGCCATTGGGCTGCCTATTTTCCAAGTGACCGACCTCGCATGTACAGTCTGATAAAATGTATCATGAGGTTGCGGTTGAATAAGGTTGCAGGGAGATTTGGACTCAGTAAGGCTGGATTTCCACTTTAATACAGAGAAGTTGTTCTCTAGCGAAATATTTGCATATTTTCTTTAGAATTTTAACAGCATAAATAAATTAGTTCAACATGACTGT